CCTACTGCTATGTCAGGATCCTTAGTTCTCAAAAAAGATAGGTTGAGATCCTAGCCACATGTTGACCCTTTTTGGTCCGGCCTCAACTCTCACTAGTCACCCCGTTCACTGGCCCGCTATTTTCCAGTTCGTCTTTGTTCCTCAAAAGTAAGCTTAAGGTATTTTTTGGGCTCTCTAGTAACAGGACTGAGCTGTGTTGTCTTGAGGATTTGGTCCAGAGCATTGTGAAATGGATCCCTCAGCCCTAAGGGACATGCACAGCTTGCTGATCATAGAAGCTTCTGTTATCTTTTGAAACTTAAGATTGTAACTCATTTGTGAATATATGTTTGCCTGCTTTCATGATGTAGATACCTATCTGGTTTCCTTTTCCTGTTTAATAAGTCTTTATATAGTTATCTCTTTGTATAGTTTGGCTGCAAACATTATCTTTGGTGTGAGATATAGGGTGCAATTGATCTGGGGGTAAGTGTCTGGTCCTTTGGTGCTCGGAGTAATCTGAATGTTGTGATTTTTGGGGTAAAGGACCATCTATCACAAAGGTACACTCACCTGGGTGACAAGATAGATCTGAGCACTTCAGAGGACTGTCTGGGTATGTCTACACAGCAACATTACTTCGAAATAACTAGCGTTATTTCAAAATAACATAGTCCACGTCTACACAGCAGGCAGTTATTTCGACATAATGTTGAAATACTGTCAAGCTGGAGGACTTCTTACTCTGACTCATGTATCCCTCATTTTATGAGGAGTAAGGGAAGTCAGCGGAAGAGTGCTCTATTTCGAAATAAGTGCTATGTAGACAGCACCAAAACTCGAAATAATCTATTTTGAAATAAGCTACACAATTGACCAGCTCAATTTGCAAAGTTCATTTCAAATTAAGCCCTGCTGTGTACACGCGTCCTTTGTGACTTTGTGTTAAGGCTGTTATAATGCTGGAGCCGTTTACACTTGGGAATTGTTGGAGATATCTAAGTACAGAACTCACAACCTGAAGTTTGTGCTCTGGTTCTCAACAGTGTGCCTGGAGGTTAAAACAGAGCTTAAAACTTTCCTTATCTTTCCTTTCATTAGGATGTTAGAAAGGGGAGCAGAAGAAATACTTGTTGGGCAAGGAACCCCTCTGCATTGCTATTAGAATCAGTGCCCTGGGATGCTTGTACTCAAACTCTGGAGTGTTTCTCTCTTGCTGTGTCATCCAGTCCTTCCCTTTCCCTTGATCTCTCAGTCACACTCTCTCTCACTCACTCTCGGTAACAGGAGTACAGAGTGAGAGTCCAGTTGCTGTCCTGCCCCTGCCTCCACCCTCCTCCTGATTTTTTCTTCACTCAACTCTCCTTCTCTTTCTGGTAAGTCTAACAAACTGTTTCTTTGTTGACACTATTTTGTGGCACTGTGCAATGCTTTCAATCAAAATACCTACTTCAGTAGTGTCAGTACAAGTTTTCTAAATAAGTTTATTTTGGGGGCGCTACCTTATAGGCATAGGTGCTATGTGTGTGAAACACACAGCCAATATAACAGCCTGGCGTGGGCTGCCACTGAAAGTAAGAAATACATTTTTCCAAAGAAAGATTGAAAAATAGCATTAGATGAAGATGGATTTTATGTAAGATCAGGGAAAATGGCAGTTTTGTATTTATTTACAAAAATAAATAATCATGACTCAGGAGTGGCATGAGACATCAGGCAGGTAAGTGACTTAGTAAAGTTTCTGGATCTGGTTTGTTTGTTTGTTTCTGTTCTTCTGTAGGTGTGTGTCCTGCAACATCCAGTTACTTTGCAGATCTTTGTACTAGAGGTCATAGACAAATGCCGACTCCTTTATGCCTCATGTAATTAGTCATGTCAGGTTCATAACTGTTTGTAAAGGAATATGGAGGGTTTAAAGATAACACAAGGTACATCCATTTGTCTGTAGGATTATCAAACCTAATCTGACATGGGTTTGACATTTATTGCTTGAAATTTTGCTGCAGTTTAAATCTGAATTCATTTCATGGTAATATTTTAGTTTTGTTCAACACATGCTGTTTGGTTTAATCATATTGAAGACTCTTTTTTACAGATAGTTTTTAATGAATTTCAAGAATAAAGTGCTAAATACCATTACCCGTTTTAGAAGTGCTTAAAATAGCTTCTGGCTGCAGAGCAGATGCCATGTGTCTTTCTGCTGGTTACAAGGGAAGGCAAGAACTAAATATAGACAAGTGTTTGCAAACCTTCTTGAAGTGCAAACTGAAAGAGGGTAAGGATAAAGAAACACTTGTTGCCGAGAAAATATCACTTTTCATAATTCCCAGCCCTATTTTAAAGGACTTAACATTGTTTACAGAAAAAAATATTTTTGTGGCTGTTTATAATTGATCAGTATTTCCTAAGCATCGAGAATAGCAAAGTGGCAGAGCATCTGTACTGCAAAGGTGACTATTTTTTCCAGCAATAGAAGAATACTATTATCGCTAAATCGGAGCTCTGTCCTTTTCTATTTTGGGACTAAGAAGCCTTTCAAGTAAAAGGATATAGGCCTAAAAGTGAGATGTTAAGGATCATTGTCAGAAACATTTAAAAGGGTGTTATATTTTCGATCCAAACAAATTCAACACACAACAATGCTGACCATCTTGGGATTATGAAATGGGGGGGCACCATTTCTCTCTCTCTTTGGGCTAAGTAAATGGTATGTTTGAATTCCCCGACCAGTTCATGGGCTGACAGTGCAGTCTTAGGAGCAGACCTGGCTGTTAAAGGGTGTCCTACCTCCAGTGGAAGTTAAAGCCTTGTTAAATTTGTTTTAAAAAGGAATACTAGAGGATAACTGCAGTGTCCTAAACACCATTCCCTCCAGCAAAACTTTTCCTACCCCAAGGCAAAAAAGGTAGAGCTAGACAGCACAAAAAAAACATTCCCATGTTTGGCCCATGCAAGCCAGCTTGATCATGCAGGGCCTCAACAACAGGGCTGTTGCATTGCTATGCAGACTTCTGGAGCCTGAGCTCTGAGACCCTCTTCATCCCACAGGGTCCTAGAGCCCGGTTTCTAGTTCAAGTCTTCAAGTCTACACAGCTTTTGTGGATCTCATTCTTAGGCACCTATCGCTCCCCATTCTTTGTAGAGGAGTCAAGCCTAGACACATAACTTGATTTTGTGGACCACATGTTGTTCCTGAGATTTTCTAAGCACTGTGATACCCAACATTGCAATGCCTAAATCATGTGGTGGATTCCCTCCAGAGTGATTCTGTAACTTCTTTAGGCCGGATGGGGAAGGATTTCTGATGCACAGACAGATTACTCAGCAGGGAGTAGAGGATTTGGGGCTACCTCACTAAAAACCCCTCATCTCTAGAGCTGCATGTGAGCTACAGTAGCAGCTGTATTCACGTAAATATAAGTTTCCCATTAGTAATGTTTTTTTTTTTTACATTTCAAAATATCTTAAGTTTATGAAAGCTGCTGTATAATTTTTGTATATCATACACAGAGCCATCCTCTCCATAGGGCATCCTCCCTGAGCCACGCGCTTTGGGGGACCATGCTGTTTAGGGAGCATGGAAGCATGGAGCCAAGAGCATTGTGGGGTCTGGCACTGGCAGCAGGCCCACCCCTGCACTCACTGGCAGCAGTGGGACGTGAAGCACCCTGGACCCATCCAGCTGCACTCCACTGGCTCCCAGCATCACTCAGGAGAGGAAGCTAAGGGGCAGTGGCAGAGCAGGAGAAGGCCGGAGAAGAACAGGGGCAAGAAGAGGTGGAGTGGGAGCTGTGCCTGGGGCAGAAGGGTGGATTGTCCCTGCCCCACATCCCATTAAGGAAGGCCCTGATCATACAAACTTGTTTTAAACTACAGAGATACAGTCTACATAGATTGTAGTTGCTGTAATAATTTTAGAGAGATGAAGGTCAGTAGACATGACACAGTGGGTGAGGCGTATCTTTTATTAGACCAACTTCTGTGGGTGAGAGACACAAGTTTTTGAGCTTACACAGACCGCTTCTTCATGTCTAGGAATATCCCAGCTGAACACACAGTACAACAGATATTTCAAGAGGTGCTATTAAAGGTAAAGGTAAAGGTAATGTACATGGTTTACTGGTTTATCGGTAAACCTCACCCTTAATGGATTGCAGTTAACCAGTAGGGGCTGGAGCAGTTTCCCACCTGCCCCAGACCCATCACAGGCAGTGTCTGCTCTGGTCAGCTGGCCAAAGCAGCTTCTGTTCGTGGCAAATCTGTCATCTATTTTCCCTCCCCGCCCCCACTCCACACAGATTACACACTGGCCCCTGGGGAACCAAATGCAGAGCCCTCGGCAAAATCCCCTCCTCCTCCAGCCCTGTTTCCGGGGAGGCGGCTTTGCTATGGGCAGCGAAGCCTCCTCCCCAGAAGCGGGGTCAGTAGCTCTTGCCAGCCCTGCTCTCGGGGAGGCTTCACTGAGGACTCTGCAGTATAAAGCCTATTTAAACTTTATACTGTGGTGCCCATGGAGTATGTAACCATGTAACCACTAGGATTTTTAGCCATTACATGGTTACATTTTTAAATGCCTTTTTACATTCCTAATGTTAACATATCCATGTGTCTGCTATAGCCAAATATGACCTAATCCATGGGACCCTTGAGAACTGTAGCACATTTAAGGTTATATCTTATGGCATGCTAGTTGTGAAGTTCACACTGGGTTTGCCTATATTCAACTTGGTGGTCTTGTTTTAACTCTAGTTAATTTATTGCCAATTAACTCTAATTAATTAGCATAATTGTAAATGCTAGTCTAAACATTTCACAAATGTTTGTGTTCTGGAACAAACATTTGTAGAGCATCCAGACTAGCATTTATAAACATGTCAGTTAATTTGAGTAATTGGCAATCAACTAACTCAAGTTAAAATAGGACCACAAGCGCTAGTCTAGACAAACATATTAATGCTGACAGGAATTGTTTGGATAAAGCACTTATACTGGGCATAATTTTCCACAGTAAATTGGGCACCACATGTTATCAAACCAGAATAGTAACATTTTAGGTCCTTTCACACAGGTGTACTGACTACATTGTGGGAAAAGCAGCAGAGAATCAGATCCACTGATGTGACAGTATATACCAGTCATTACAGAATTTTGCATAGACAATAGTTTTGTTTATGCAAGGACTGCAAGAAGAAGTCTGCAGGCCAACAATTAAAGGGGCCTTCCTCCTAACATTCCAAGTTCATGCTTGAAGTTAGTTGCTGGAGGAAGTGATAGGCTATACAAGGTTGACTATCTTATCTACAAGTACCTGCATGTTAACATTTTATATCCAAGATCAATTTGACTAGTACTAGGCTGATATGCACTGAGACATGTATTACAAGTAAACAGTACACCTCCCATTCAGGAGCGGCCTGTGGCTATAGGCGGACTCAGTCGCCGCCTAGGGTGCCGCCACCCAGGGCGCCCAATGATGATGTCAGTCCATTGATGGCCCTGCAGGTGGAGGTGCTGATCGCGCACTCCGCCTGGAGCGCCAGCTGCTGAAGCTCTCAGGCCGCTCCTGCTCCCATTATACGCTGCCTTTTAAAACAGCAGCAACTTGGACACTGTAGAACACACATACAACAATCAGAATGATCCTTGGTTGCTATGTAAGTTAGAGCAGGCTTCATACAGAGGCTGGAGCTCTGATTTTGGGAAATATAAAGGCGGTTTAAAGCACGGTTTAAAGCAGAGGAACTCAGAGGATGCACTTGTTCTTCTTCCTTGTGGCTCCTGCCATTGCAGGGACTATGGAGGGGCTGCTGCCACGCCTCACTAACCTCCCTTTCCACCTGCTCCCCAATAATACCTGAGGATATGTCTACACTACAGCATTATTTCGAAATAGCTTATTTTGAAATAACATGTCTAGACACAAAATGCATTTCGAAATAGCATTTTGCTATTTTGAAATAAATGCGATTCAGCATCCTTCGGTGTGGAGGCACTAAGGCTGGCCAGAACCGGTTCTGGCAGGGCATCAGGTCAGGAGTTACCTTCTGTGGTTGCTGCCTGAGGCTATCTGAGACCTGTGCTTAAAGGGACACCCCCCAGACAACCGGTTCTAAGATTTCCCTGCTAGCTTGCCTACTTCGCTGAGAGACAGCAAAGCATTTTTTTCTCTGAGTGCTCTAGTTACCCTCACTTGGGACGCCACAGAACTCTGCAGCATGTAGCTGGAGCCACCCCTGGGCACTCTGGTGCTTCCCTTGGACATGTTGCTGCGAGCCTGGCAGCACGTTCTGCAGGCAGTAACAGTTTCCCTGGTGTGCCTCACTGGGGGCTTGTGCCTCATTCCTCCCTCATGTTCTTCCACTTATCCCTCCCTGACCCCCCTTCCTGCTGTACAATAAAAGACACGCATTCATTACAACAAAGCCTCGTTATTGAACAAAACTGGGGTGGGCAGGGAATGAAACTAAGTTGAGACTGGGGAAAGAAGATGGGAGAGGGAAGGAGGGAGGGTGGGAGAGGGGAGGGGAAAACCTGGGAGGAGGGAGCTGGCAGGGGGAGGAAGGAGGAAGAGAAGCTCGGGGTTGGGGGTCTTGCCAACCCAACTGTCTCCCAGCACCACAGGTGCGGGGGCCCTGGTGTCCCTGGGAGTGTGGGGAGGGTGGGGAGGAAGAAGCAGGAGGGGAAGAAGGAGTGCCAGCAGGGGCTGAGGCAGCAGGAGGCAGCAAGCTCTGCCCCAGGGTCGATGATCACCTGGGGCGCATGGACCATCCTGTTCCCCAGGATGCAGTCCAGAGCATCAAAATAGGGGCAGGGGTCTGGGTCTGCCCCTGGCTGGGAGCTGCCCCCTGTGGCCCTGGCATACACCTGCCACAGCTCCTTGATTTTCAAGCGAACCTGCTCCTGGGTTCGCATGTGGTCTTTGGTGGCCAGGCTGGTAGCCATCCACCTGTAGACGGTTGTGTTCCTCCGTTTAGTGTGGAGATCATGGACATTGGAGGCATCCCCCCAAACCTGACTTAGGTCCCTGATCTCCGCACTGGACCAGGCAGGCGCCCGCCTTTTCCAGCCCCTGGGAGCTGGTAGACTGGTCCTGGGGAGCAGTGGCTGCCTGGCTCATGCTGGGGCCACTGGGTCAGGTACAGCGACTGCTGGCTCTTGGCTGGCAGTCGTGGAGCTGGCACAGGCACTGTGGCCAGAGTCTACCCCTTTAAGGGGTCCGGGGGTGGGGGAGGGGGCGGAGGATTTTCTTGGTTATGCCCAGAGTGGCCAGCAGGGCACCCTGGGAAGGGCTAGAGACCCCCTATTTCGAAATAAGCATCTACATAGCACTTATTTCGAAATAGCAATTTCGAAATTGGAGCTATTCCTCGTGGAATGAGATTTACCAATTTCAAAATAAGTCCTCTGCTGTTTCGATTTAATTTCAAAATAGTGGTTTGTCTGTGTAGACGCTGGTAAAGTTATTTCGAAATAACTTTGCTGTATAGACATACCCTGAGGTTGCAACCTTGGAGGAACAGGGTGCCATGTGGGCTGGGGGAAGAGGGCAGGGTGACGGTGGGAAAGGGGAGGGTTAGAGTGACTGCAACAGACAGGTCCCTTCCTCCTCAATGGCCCACCAGTACTTGCAGGCTAGATTGTGAAACTGCTCTTGCTGGGGATGGCCAACAGGCCAGGAGTTTGAGACTTCTGGGGATATGTCTACCCTACAAAGTTAGTTCGAACTAACGGACGTTAGTTTGAACTAACTTTCATAGGCGCTACACTAGCGCTCCGTTAGTTCGAATTTAATTCGAACTAACGGAGCGCTTAGTTCGAACTAGGTAATCCTCATTCCACGAGAATTAAGCCTAGTTCAAACTAGCTAGTTCGAATTAAGGGCTGTGTAGCCCCTTAATTCGAACTAGTGGGAGGCTAGCCCTCCCCAGGTTTCCCTGGTGGCCACTCTGGCCAACACCAGGGAAACTCTACTGCCCCCCTCCCGGCCCCGGACCCCTTAA